TGCTATGACTTCTAACATGAAACTTAAGTCCAATATATTATATAGTATACTAACAACATAAAACAATCAAACAATTTAATTTTTACTGTAGGTACTCGTTTAAGACTGCATTTTAAAATATGAGTATTATGTTTATATTATTTTACTTGTATTTATATTTGATGAATCAATTTACCAGTATAATTAACTTTGTAAGTTCCTATTACATTTATAATAAATATCAATATTATAGACTACAAGTTTACGATAGTAATGAAATGATATACTGTATAAGACACTAGTTTAAGTACACAATGTCTAATATGGAAAAATCACACAAGCTACGAACGAAAATAAAAACGTATTTCCAATCGAAATGATATTTACCGTAGTCCGTAATGACTTCCAGCAATTATTTGTATATTCAATTCAAAGTAGAGGTGTATTATGGACATAAGTTATAAATTATTCTATGAGCAAGACAACTTTCGACGTTTTCATCTATTTTGGGAAAAAAATATAATTGTTCAGCAATTGCTAAGTATGGAATAACTAGGTATATTATGTTATTTTGTAATATTAATTCCAATAATTTCTAATCATGTTTTAAATAATTCATCATTTCCTCGAATACTGATCAAATTTAATAACAATACAAATAATTTCTTATAATTTTTATTATAAATTATTAGTAATGAAATCTAGACAACTAATGTGTTTTCGAGGAAAAAAAAATTATGGCAAACCAGACCTCGATTGTACAATCAATGTAAGATCATTAACAGCAGAATCAATATCATCAGGTATTTTTAGTTTGATAATTAACTATATTTTTTTATTTTAATTAATTTACGGCGGTCAGTGTATTGTTTTAATAAATTAGGAGAAAGGTATTTAACATTAACAATACTGTGGAATGATCTGAACTTATATCAAGAATATTTGTTGTATAATAGTAAAGTGAATTATGTGATTTGGTAACAAAAATATCTAATATTTCCAAGTTTTTTTGGAGAGACGACCAGTAAGCCCAGAAAGAGCAAGGTTTTTTGTATTTTTTTAAATTTATAAAATTATAAAACATAGCACCCCGTGAATTACACTTGCGGCAACCTCACAATTGATGTTTGTCATTGAAATAACCAAAATTAATTTTTGATTGAATTAAAAAATGCTGTACACTTTAGGGTAGTTATATTATGTTTGGGGTGGGGGTAGAGTTGAGTAAATTACCACAGTAGTAAAAAACACATTATTTTATTTTCTTTGAATTGAAAAAGATTGGAAGTAGTTTTGAGAAAAACTAGGTAGAGGTTCATACACAATAGATGATCTAACATATATATATATATATATATATATATGTATGTATGTATGGTGGTGTCCATGGACTGTATTATCAGGTTGATTAATTTACATCCAGATATTTACATATATATACTGGAACAGTGACGTATCTAGGGGTGGGGTTAGGGGGTTATAACTCCCCTCGAAAATGTTTAATGTATGTGTATTGTCTATTGATTATAATAAAAACACACAAAATTAAAAAAAAATTGAATGTTACATTTTTTATAACCCCTCCCAAAAAAAAATTCTAGATACGCCACTGTACTGGAATAATGAAATAGACAGGGTTCCACTGATGAATTTCTAAAAACCATCAGCATATTAAGTAGCACTGTATTATAAATACAGAATAATTCGGAATCCATACTATTTATCTATAATTATTACCGTTTAGTACTAGAATGTAAATAAATTTAAATTAATATAAATAGGTAGGTAGTTTATAATTATAATATATTTATTCCGCAGAAAAATAAATATGAATGTTAAGTATAGTATAACATAAACTGGAAGTTACTGAAATGGTTGAGGAACCTAGTATACACTTACTTACTCTCTGGAATTGCCAAATAAAGAATCTTTTGAAATTTTAAAAATAAAAAAATTTTAAATCTTCAAAACCTGGGTTTTATCTAATTATCTTTAGAACATTATTTCGTATCTAAAAATTAATACTTGTAACATGTTTCTTACGAATTTCTCACATGAATCAATATGTAGGACATCAATTTTGGGTTTGTCGCTATGATTAGGAAATGTGATGTGACATATCGATTTATATGAGAACTCTGCCGTAGTTATTAATAATACAGAATAATAAAATAAAAAATGTCAAAAGATTCTTCATTCGACCGCTCTAGAGAGTACTCGTATATTAGTTTGCTCAATCATTTGGGGGACTCTTAATAATATATGAATATGATAAAAAAAAATACATACCAAGTTGACAAAATGTTAGTAAATATAGTTTTTCAAACTTCAACCAATTAAGGTCATTTAAATGAATCGATAAAATAAAAAAATTACAAAATAAAAATTAAAAAAATGACTCAAAAGATGAAATAAAATTGTAATGTTAAGGATAAAAATTAACAAATAATAAGCAAAAACACTACAAATGTAATTTTATTAATATTCAAAATACCAATAGAAAATTATAAGAGTACATTCAAATAAATAGTCCATTACAAATAACAATGTTAACTGATCAGAATAATCAAGGGACTAAAGTAATTTTCTGAACATTCAAAATCGAAATAGATTATTTTTGCTTAGTATTATATATATATATTTTTCTTTTTAATTAAATCACAGAAATGGACAATTTATTAATCTGTAGTAGAAAAAAAAACATAAGACTGAAACAATATTTGGATTTATAGAAAAAATAAAAACTTCAGGTAGGTAACAATATTATTTTCTAGCTAGTCAATGTGAATCACAAAGACTATCACAGACAATCTAAAGAAGCATATAAGCTGCTTAATATTATTTAATAAGCACAACACCAAATTGCACACATTTTTGTACACAATAGGTAATAGAATGACTGTTGTTTATTTACAAATTAAAACTTAAATGGAATGATAATTATAAATCCTTTGATTTGTTTAGTCATTTTATAATATAAGACTTTTTGGAATGTATTATAATTTTCAACAAAGATAAAATAATAATTAAATTATCATAATTTATTCAATACATTATTAATATTAACACTTTTTATAAGGACGGACCTTAATCGATAATTTATCGAAAATAACTGTACTATTATTTTATTATAAAACATATAGAATAATTATTTAAATGCAAAATTATTCACCTAGTAACTAAAATTGTATTTATCTATTAAATATATAGATTAAGAAGTTGAGTGAAATTATTTAAAACAGTTGAAAATTAATTAATAAATAATGAACTCGATTATATCAATTATACATTAATATAGTAAATCAAATAGTTATTTTGTAACATTTCAAGGGCACAGGTTCTGATCAAGATAACTGACAGATATATATGGAGAAGAGATAATGCAAAGCTTTTTGAACATAAGAGATCTGATTCTGTTAAAAAAAATTAAATTTAGAATTAACAAAGACTAGATAATAATTAAAGACTAAAATAACATAAATAATTTTTTTATAATAATAATAATTCATTTTGTTCTATGCTACAACATTTTTGTTTTAACAAATAAAAACAATAATAAGTAACAATAATAACATACAGTGGCGTATTTACAATGGTTGTTCAAGAATTTTTTTTTTATAGTATTTTAGTGTAAAATATTTAGAATTCAAACAAAATATTGTATTGATAACAAGATAATTAATAAATGTTCAATTATTTATTATATGTCATGGTATAATTAAATTGTCTAATTAATTTTTACGGTGCAGTTAATTTTTTATTTTTTGCACAATTACATTAGAAATACGCCACTAATAACATAAATTATTATTTATATTAATAATTATCATATTTCTTCTTCATGAACATTATGTATAATAAACAAAAGTAAAAAAATAGCTAAATTTATTAATAAAGAGTTGAAACAAAAAATTAACCACTATGTTTAACATTAATAAGTAAAACAATGAAACCTCAATTTAACATTTAAAAAAAGTAGTATTTTAAATAAACTATGTAGTAAGGGTATGTTGTATAAATTGTTATGAGTTAATTAATGAATGTATATAGAAGAATAGTTATAAATTAAAAATACTGACAATAATAGGCATTATATATAATTTTTATAATACTGTAGAGATAAATATGAAGTAAGAAAAAATATACATATTAATTTTAAAATTTAATTAAAAAGATTAAAATTCACTTTGATTAATTAAATTTATTAATATGTATAAATAAATATGTTATATAAAATTATACAAACAAGATGCCTCATAGGGTTTATTATACATTTTAGTAAATAACAAAACCAATTAAAATGTTTCGTTTTATAACCAAAATATAATAAGAACACTGAGGGACATCAAATTTAAATATATATATATATATATTGTTACGTTGCTAACTTCAATTACTATTATCAATATATTTTTATGAAAATTGATTTTTGCCAATTTTAAAATTCCTGTATTATTGAAAGATTATATAATATCCTTAAAAAAAACCAATAAAATAATAATAATTGTAATACCAATTTCCCAATATATAACCCTAAAACCTATACAATCAAATATTATTAATAATATCTACTAAAAATATTATAAGTAAAATATATTTCATCTAGTCCCATCATAACCAAACCAATGTAAAAGGTCATCAAAGGACCCACTAAGAATTGTAATCCAAACATCTAAATACCAATTAATTATGTGATTATGTGGATTTGGACCAATTTTTAATGTAATTTGAACTATCTTAGACAAATTTTCACTATCTTATATTTTGTCAAACTTTGAATCATTTAAAATACGATATTTTATGATTGGTTTTAGTTAAGAAAATATTCTTAGTTACAAGTATTCGTTAAATATGGATTTGTTTTTAAATTAAAAATTCATGAAAAAAAGCAATATCTTATAACATAACACTGTAATATCAATGTTTACTTAACATGTATCACTAAGCAATTAGTTGGCACGTAACAATATATAAATATAAATACATACATATATATATCTATATATATAATTTTAAAGAAACACACACGCATTTACGCACACATACATACATACACATACACACAGGCATCAAAGAAAATAGGAATAGTTATGAATATGGAAATGTTGATTGGTTGGTGATATTATTTTATTTAATTATTATTTTACAGCCAAGGAACATTTTTTTATGGATGAGATTCGCAACCTGGGCTAACTATCTCGATTTCGATATTTTGCTGTTGTAAAATGTTGAGGCCATGGTAAAGGCCAATCATATTGGCGAGGTATTGGACCATTTATATTTCCTTCAAAATATTTGAATAGCCAAAACCACCAAGATCGAGCTAAGTAGTTATTAGAACTGGAATGCTGTAAAAAAAAAAAAAAAATAAACAAATACAAATAAACCGATAGTAAGTAGGTAATTTATAGTTAAATTTCTTTAAATACGGTATAACTTATTATTGTTGTTAAGATTTAAAATTGTTTAACATTTAACTTGGTTTATTTTTTAAACATACAAGAAAAACATATATATATATAGGTAATTAAAAAAAACTTACTTTCAGATAAACATTATTGGCCAATGTGTGATATATCCAAAACAGTCGAGTAGTAACTAAATATGCGATAATCACATCAATAGTATAGTGACCGTGTGCAATGAGTACCATTAATACTCCAACAGCTCCCATTAACCATGATGCCCAATGAAGTAGATACCAACGTCTGGGGGAATCTTTAAATAGAAACATTTTTAGTAATTTTTGAAGTATTAAAGAAAATAATAAATAATAATACAATTTACATTCAACAATGATTAAGTAGCTCATCACCAAAATTGTAGTATGTCCACTATACATATAATCGCCACAAAATGTATGTTTGCCATTGATTGACAAGCCAAAACCAGAAAACAACTGGAATACACGTTTAGCGATCTGTTCTGGACTAGTAGAGTTGGATTTGGGAGAACAATAATAGGTAGTACTAGATATGGGCAATACAGTTACAAACATAGTAACAGATCGAAGTAGATAAAGAAGGGACAGCATAAACATCAGTCTACGTAAAACAATAAACCTAAAACAATTTTTTTTATTAATATGATGTTATACAATATACATTAAATACTTAAAAACTAGATTAGATTTTTTATTAAATTTAAAATTTAAACCACAATTTAAAATATATATATATATAACATAATATTGTAAATATAACCAATTTATGATTTCATTTCAGGAAATTTAAGGGTTTATTATATAAGTCATGATATCATTAAATTATGAAAAAACGTACTAATAAAATGCTTATGAATAATTTATAAATTTAAAATAAGTAATTAAATATTTTTAAGTATTGTTGATGTCAATAAAATATGATTTTTGATCTGCTTATTTTTAAAATTGATAAGTATAAATTATATTGTATAAAAAATAAATATAACACAATCAATTCATTTTTATATAAAGATTCAACATACTAAAATATACATTGTTAATTACCTATACTTATGACTGGCAATAATTAACAGTGACAAATTTGTGCTGATAATAATAAATACTTCAGATACATCTAGAGCCCAGTCTCGAGCAGGTACAGCATCTAAAAATGTATCTGGTAATGGTTTGTACAAATTACGATCAGGTACTCTTTCGTGGACAACAGCTAAAGATGTAGTAGTGATCAAAAAATTCATGATCAACAATATTAACGCTAAATTAAAAATAAAAAGTAAATACATAATTTGTTTTTATTATTAAAACATATCTTGACATTTACCAACAAAAGTCTTGAATTTCTCTTGTGGGATTCTAATTTTATCATTTGATGGTGGTGGATTAACATTATTTGGCATATCAATGTGCACAGCTGTTCCATTGGCATTGTTATTGAGATATTTGTGATTAAACCCATCATTTCCAGTAGATGACACCCCACCATCTAACTGATGTTTGTTGTCTGCTAAGGTTTGGTGTATATGACCCATAACAGGCTGTTGATGCTCACGATTTTCTCCATTTACATCAATATTGTCATTTCTCGGTTCCCAACCAATACCATTACTTACAGCTGATGTCACCTGTTTACATAAGCCCAACAATGGTTGTCTTTGTCTTTCATTCTGAAAAATATAATTGATTAATAATTAAATTTGTCCCAAATTAAAAAAAAAAATTAAAAACTAATTCTAAATAAAAAAAAGTTGAAAAAAAACACTTGAATATATTATTCAAGAGGAAAGATTTTTCTTCCTAATTCATTCAAATTTAACCTTGATCTAGTATATAATCCTCCCTATAGCAGACATTATTTATTTGCTTAGGATATAAAGTAGGATATAAACAAACTGAAGTTATCTTTTTCATAAATTATTATAAAAATTATACATAATATATACAGTAAAACCTCGATAAGACGAAATCGCTTGGGACCATGATATTTTTCCGTGTTAACGGGGTTAGTTAATTGTATGTAATTTGAAACGGAACCAAAATAATGTTCCGTTATACCGAGGTTTCCGTCTTCCCAAAGTTCCGTCTTATCGAGGTTTTACTGTATGTTTATATAGTACACAAAAATAACTGGTGTACATAGAATATAAATATATTATAGAAACACATATTTTTAATGTTAGTTACAATTTTAATGTACTGTTCATATTTAACACATATTTCTTAACACGTTGACTGTCAAGAGCCCGCTGGCGACCTAAGACAGTATGTTAATATGGAGCCGGCGGTTCAAACCTCTCATTTTATTCAATAGACTATATTTTATGATGGTGTACACGAAAAAAAAATTGATTACTTAATTTTAAATGTATTTTGTGTATATGAGTATTTACCTAATAACCTATCATACATAAAAATTAATAGAATTTAATGCAAATCTCTTATATTTTTAAAAAAAACAATATTACAATAGTCTTATATATTATTATATTATTACCTATTAAAATATTTTTCCTAATGAAAAATTTAAAAATTAAATTATTCTTGTTTGCTGTAATATTTAAAAAAGGCAAAAAAAAAAAAAAAATTTCTTGTAATAAAAATTATATTGTATGATCTGAAAAATACAATACACAATAGAATGGTTTTGGTAGAGGATATGAACTGCAAAATGTAAAAACCTTTTTTTTTTATTTAATGCTTCTCTAAAATATAAAAATATTTTTTTTTATTACTTTTTTTAAATTATTTCATAAACATAAAAAATTAAAAATTCAATAAATATCTTCATTACCTAAATCCTTTTATGTGATATTTTTTATAACATTCTGTAAATAATTTTCTTAGTTATCTACTTCTTTTTTCAGTGGTCTATTTTTTTTTCAAAAAATAAAAAATCGAAACTGAAAGGGTTAAATTACTGAAAGATCGTATTTTCAAATGCGATACCTACTATAATAATATTACGATAGATTTAGAATATTTCTATTTTTAATAATGAAAAACTGGGTATTATTTATGTTTAAATAAATCTAAAAATGTTTAGCCCTAAATATCAAGTAAAAAAATAAAAGTTAAAAATGTATATACTATAAGTATATATATATATATATATATATATAATATATACTTGTAATTCATTAAAAAATTGCATTTAAAAGGTTGAGCGTTGGCCATCACTGTATAAATATCTGGATGAATGAAACGTATAGAGCCAATACATATATTATGTTTCTGAAGTCATGAAGAAATGAGTTCACCACAGATTACATAATTATATCTGCGATTTTATCATGATTTTCCTTTTTTCTGTCAATGTTTTGCAAAATCAACAATTCATTATAGAAATGAAAATACAGGAAATGATAGAAAGTATGCATTTTATTAATAAAAATAAATATATTTAATAAAATGCTTTTGAAATTTAATAAAGAAAGGAGGAAAAGAAAAATTTAAAAAAACCACTACAAGAAAAAAATTTAAAATAAAATATTGTAATTTATAATAACTATTGTCATACGAATTTTAATTACTAGTACAGAGTTATAAACATAAAATGTAAGTGTTGATAAATTGACTTAAATGGATTGTTTATTTATGTATACTAATGAGTAAATTCTATGCTAGTAATTATATAAATTAAATTATTCTAGTATATATAAATTAATTTCAACTCTCCGGGGTCAACCACTTTTTCTGGAAGGTTTCTTCGGTTTTTTATCATTTTCTTTACATTCGTTTTTTATTAATAGATTTAACTTATAATGGAAACTAAATAATAGATTTTGGATTCCACTGAATTATTTTTCTTTTTTTTCTCCCTTGTCTTTCTCCCAACTATTTGGGGTCCGCCCTCCTTATCTTAATTCTCCAATCGCTCGATTTTCTACATCCCTTACTTAAACACCAACACAGCCCTCATATCATTCACAACCATATCCAACCATCTATTTCTTGGTCTTCCTCTTTTTCCTTTATCTTCAAAATTTTAATAACCATTCTTACTGTTTTTGTTTACTCTCGCTTCATCACATGCCCAAACTATGTCAGTCTATTTACTCTCATCTTGTTCACTATCGACGCTACATTAATACTATCTCTTACATGTTAGTTACTTTTTTTTTATCTTTTCTCTTGTCATTTCACTTATCCATCTAAGCATTCTCATTTCCTCAAAACTAGTACTCTATTCTATTCTCTTGTCAATCGCCCAACACTTCGAATCATATAGCATAGTTGGTCTCACTCATTAGAATTCTCTTACCATATAAAACACCCGACGCTTCTCTTCTTTTCATCTAATAGCACTTAATCTTATGTTTTACATCCATGCCAATGTCTTTTTGCACAAATTATCCTAAATATTTAAAGTTCTCGACTTCACCCACCACATCACCACTTATTGGTCTCCTCATCTTATCAACTTTTTAGTATCTTCCTTCAAAGTCACTATACATATCTACTCTATTTTATTTCTACAAATTTTCAATCTCTTTTTTTAAAGAGCTAACCTCCACTCATCTAACTTATTATTAACTTCTTCCAGATTTTCTTTTATCAAAACTATATCATTAACAAACATCATATACCAATTGCACCACTGTCGATTTTCCTAGCAAAAAACCAAACTGATTTTCTGATATTGATGTCTCATTTCTTATTCTCTTCTCTATAATCTTCTCCTAAATCTTCATACTATGACTTATAAGCTTTAATAAATTAAATAAATTAAATAATTAATTTAATACAATACGAGTATGTATTTTTCCATAGCCTCGTTAAGAAATGTTATATTAAATGCCATTCTACAACATGCTGTATTACTGAAATTATTTAGAAAACTTTAATAATAATAATAGTAAATCCTGTTTAGATCAAAATCTACGTCTTTTGAATACGAGAGTTTAATAGTTACTTACAAGCAATATAAAACCACCATTGTAGTCTACCTATTTAAATAGAAATAGAAAGATCATTTTTAGATTTTAAGAAGACCGAAAGAACTATTTGATCGAATTTTAATGCATATAATTCCGTGCTATAATGATAACTGATTGTTCAGATTTAAATTATCATATATAGTCAATAATAAAACCCCATGGCAAAGTTGATTACTGATATATTATGTGTTTCCACAATAATTATACGCGAACCATGTAAATAGTATAATACTGCTAAAATGTTGTATAACCAGGTATGCTTTAAAACGAATTAAAAAGAAAAGAAGGTACAGAAAATTAAAGAGATAAAAATCGCAGAGTTGTTAGAAGAGAGTAGAACATGTGTAAAATTGGATAGTATAATATATATAAAAATTTTAATATTATTTAAGAACGTCGAAAAAAAAAGTGGTGATTGTCGTGTCGGTTCTTTTAAAGTTGAGGTAATTGTTTAGTTGGAACTTGGATATAATAATGTGGGCTGCTGTATTCTATTTTTCCCAGGCCGGTCAGATTATGTCTATCCGCCCCCGGATATATCAACATTTAACCATCTATACAAGCAATACGAATTATTTTATTTCATATTTTTTAATTTGAATTATTTCATAATGAATGGAAAAAAAAATACATACATTATAGTATACATATGGTGGATATCAAAAAAGGAAAATAAAAGAAAAAAAAATGAATTGACTGCTATATTGCCAAAGATTACTGGATATTTTAATAATAATAATTGTGATTTATTACCAAGTAAGTTATAATTTAAATTTTTAAGCAATATCTATAATATATATATATATATAACAGATATAATATAGATATATATAACAGAAAATATATTTAATTTACAGATAAAAATCACACAAGACATCTAACCAATGGAATGTTTGTACGAACACTGTCTAACGGTGAAAAATATCATCATGTTATATTCTCCCAGTCAAGGAAGTATTTTCTGTTTCATGTGCAAATTGTTTGGAAGTAGTCGATCAAAAGACAATCCATTTGTCTGCAGTGGATTTGATAAGTGGAAAAAAGTGAAAGAATCACTCAACATGAAAATAGTTTTAATTACAAAAATGTCACTACAAAATGGTTATTAAGAGTAAATTTAACTATTTTAATTAATAAAGGAATGCATAGACAAATCTCTGTGGAAACTGAATATTGGCAAGAAGTATTAAGATAGATCTATATTAAAAAAAAAGAAACCGGATATTTGGCTATTTTATGGAATGATATATTAGAACGGACCAATAAAACATCTGTTGAACTTCAAAGTAAAATGATTGATTAATTAAAAGCATTTAACCTACTTATATTTTTGAAAAATTTGTGGCTAGTCTAAGAGATTTGTTTAACACTTATGAAAATCAAACTACAAAACTAAGTTTAAAATTAAAAAAATATTTTAAAAAATAAAGATAATGAAAGACAAATTAAAAGAAAGTGTACAAGTGGATCTCAAAATCCAACTCATTTAAAAGGTATTGACAAATTTAGAATAGAAACACATATCATGATTGTAGATAAGTTTATAACAGATTTAGATAAAAGGTTAATCACATATAACTATGTATCTCAGCATTTTTTATTTATCACCAAGTTAAATAACCAGCCAGATAATGATATTAACTTAAGCTTAGACAATTTCATTTCTATAAATAAAGATGACATAGAACCTTCTATAAAAAATGAGTTAGTTTAATTTAGAGAGTATTGGG